AGTGCTCCATCTGCTGGTTGCAAAAAGTGAAAGTAATAATATATATATAAATATATAGATATATATCTAGATATATATCTAGATATACACACACACAGTGTGTGTGTGTGTGTCATTCTAAAATTTCTTTAGGGTGCTAAGCGTTCTTTTTCAGGGTTAAGTTACATTTAAGAGTTTTGGGGGTTTTTTTGTTAGAAGAAGAGGAGACGTTGTATTGCTTTTCTGTTCCATTTTTATTCCATTATATACTACCGGCTGTAGATGCCCAGTGCAGTGTACACACTTAGCATCTATCAGATTCTGAAGAGTAAAGCCCAGTGTGGGGATGGTGTACATGTGGGAGTTGCATTATCGCAAGTCGGCCTATCGATTACGGATGAAAAGCTTCAAAGTTGAGCATCCAGAGTGCAGAGCTGTCATTGGAAAAGACAGCACAAAATTATGCTGAAACACCCTTCTTGCTTTTTCCCACATACATCAAATCTGGGGTAAAGTACTGAGATGTTTTTGACTGCAACCAATCAGATTAAAGGGGATTGAAGGAGTGTGTGCCATGTTGAGTATATCTAACATTTTCAAGAGAGCTGTATAAAATTAGAACAATGAAGTGCTGTGCAAACTGTTGGCGCTATATAAATCCTGTATAATAATAACAATTAAGATATGCAAGGTCTGAGCAGGAGAAGGTAGTTGGGAGTGCAGCACACAGATGTCTGTGGCTACAAATGCAATATCTGTACAGCCTAGGGGAGAAAACCAGCACCCTTTCTAACTCTAGGATAGTAAAACTCAAGCCCTATACAAACTAAAATATGTTATTGAGCAATATTCTCTAAAAATGTGGCTATCTGCTTTGAAAATATATGCCTTGCCCTTTTTACCTTGAGTTGTTTTTGAAAAGACTCTGTCACCAGACAATTCATTTAAACCACAATCTACCCACAATATTATACGTGCAGTTAAAGTATCTTAGGCATCTTATTTATCTGTAACATCATCCCTCGTGTAGATGTTCAAAAGCCCTGAGACTGCTGCTGGGCACCACCATCTTGGATGTGATGTCAGCAGACTCGGATGACAAGCTATAATATTCGCCTATGATCCTTCCCCCGCAGCTACATGAAAATTTGTGTAGGGATGTAAAGGGAGGGACATCACAGACAGAAATTAGACACTATCAGAAGAGGAGAGGGCTATGAATACAAGGAGTAAGTAGGCTGTGCTACGGAACTGAATAAAACATTTGCTAGCAAGTTCATAGGGACATTGTGAGTAATTAAATAGTTTTTTGGAAAGCAAAAATGCTGCAAGTAAGCATTTAAAATACTTTTCTGTACTTTTATCTGCAGTTGTTGGTGCCAGGGTTTCTTTAACAGTGGTTTTACCTAGTTTTGAACCATAAATCAGGAGCCGTTGCCAATAGCAACCAATCAGTTTCTCTCTTTCATTTTCACAGCTTAACTGAACAAGCTAAAGAGAGAACACTGGGGTAAAGTACTGAGATGTTTTTGACTGCAACCAATCAGATTAAAGGGGATTGAAGGAGTGTGTGCCATGTTGAGTATATCTAACATTTTCAAGAGAGCTGTATAAAATTAGAACAATGAAGTGCTGTGCAAACTGTTGGCGCTATATAAATCCTGTATAATAATAACAATTAAGATATGCAAGGTCTGAGCAGGAGAAGGTAGTTGGGAGTGCAGCACACAGATGTCTGTGGCTACAAATGCAATATCTGTACAGCCTAGGGGAGAAAACCAGCACCCTTTCTAACTCTAGGATAGTAAAACTCAAGCCCTATACAAACTAAAATATGTTATTGAGCAATATTCTCTAAAAATGTGGCTATCTGCTTTGAAAATATATGCCTTGCCCTTTTTACCTTGAGTTGTTTTTGAAAAGACTCTGTCACCAGACAATTCATTTAAACCACAATCTACCCACAATATTATACGTGCAGTTAAAGTATCTTAGGCATCTTATTTATCTGTAACATCATCCCTCGTGTAGATGTTCAAAAGCCCTGAGACTGCTGCTGGGCACCACCATCTTGGATGTGATGTCAGCAGACTCGGATGACAAGCTATAATATTCGCCTATGATCCTTCCCCCGCAGCTACATGAAAATTTGTGTAGGGATGTAAAGGGAGGGACATCACAGACAGAAATTAGACACTATCAGAAGAGGAGAGGGCTATGAATACAAGGAGTAAGTAGGCTGTGCTACGGAACTGAATAAAACATTTGCTAGCAAGTTCATAGGGACATTGTGAGTAATTAAATAGTTTTTTGGAAAGCAAAAATGCTGCAAGTAAGCATTTAAAATACTTTTCTGTACTTTTATCTGCAGTTGTTGGTGCCAGGGTTTCTTTAACAGTGGTTTTACCTAGTTTTGAACCATAAATCAGGAGCCGTTGCCAATAGCAACCAATCAGTTTCTCTCTTTCATTTTCACAGCTTAACTGAACAAGCTAAAGAGAGAACGTGAATGGTTGCCATGGGCTTTGATACATTCCCCCCTCTGTGTTCAGAATTAGCCATGTCAACTCAGATTTTTTTATTTTTTGGGGGCTCCTATTAATGCTTTTTAAATAAACTATTAGCACAAAATCATATTTTTTAGGAAAGTACATACATGTCCTTAATTTTTACCTTTCTTTTAGCATTGTATATATTTCAGTTGCAGTTAGCCATTACTGTCAGCTGTAGCTGCCAACATGTTCTGAGCCTAACAACAGTGAAACGTAAAGGGCACTGAACTTTTTTATTTTACTGATGTCCTCTTTAGGAAGGCTTTATTTTGGCAGGGAATATGCTTTTGCATGTAGAACAGCAGCTCTGTATGGTCTTCTACCCTTGTTAGCATTTCCCCCCCCATCTTTGCCATTGTTTTTTGCAATTACAGAAAGGTCTGCATTGTCTGAGTTCACTCAGCTATGACACATGTAATTTTTGCCATAATGATTGTTCTTTTCAGCCTCATTGCTGAAAATTAACATTCGTTTTAGCAAGTAACAACTGATAATAGCATAGCAATTTGAGCCTCATATATCAGTTTTAGCAACTAACTTTATCCTCATTTATCCTCATTTACCATACATACAGCACATCATCTGTTTACAACAGCCTTTCATAATGTGGGAACAGGGATGTTCCCTAGGGGCATTTTAGCATTATTTCATCAATAACAATAGTATGACTATGAGATATTGTTGAGAGTGTTAAACATCAATAATACTACCATAAGTGGCAGTTATCTTGAAAATGTAACCATTTGCAACCAGTGTTCGACGCTATAAACTGTGTGGGTACCCTAGTGCTGTTAGGAAAAGTAGATGCACACTTAATGGTCTTGATAATATTCTTTTTGCTGTTAAGACGGCTCAACCAAAACACAAAATGTAAAAACTGAGTTAATGATCAGTGTCAGATCTTATGAAATTGGCAATTTAATACAACAGTGAGGGTCAAATCACTGGCCTGTTGGGTATTTTATTGTAACACTTTACATAGCATAATCACTAAAAATCCAGTCTGTTTTGACAGAATCTAGATTTTCTGGAGTCACTTCATTATGCATCATTATTAGTCTAATCATTACATTTAATACTCTATTTTAAGCATGCTTTTTCTTAGGTTCTTTTCAAAATGTAACTGATCTTACATTCAATTAGCATGCCTTGTAATATAGCCTTACTTAAGCTTCCTCATTTATCTATATCTTCCTGCCTTTTAGCAGATCCACATTAATGAAAGGAGGCATAACTGAAGAGGAGGAACACTAGGGAGACTATGGAAGCTAAAAGCAATGACGTCTTACAGCCAGATCTAAAGCTGGTTGCCCACCCTAGGGCAAAGAGTAAAGTATGGAAGTACTTTGGATTTGATACTAATGCTGAAGGTTGCATCATGCAGTGGAAGAAAATTTACTGCCGCATTTGTATGGCTCAGATTGCTTATTCTGGAAATACGTCCAACCTTTCTTACCATCTTGAGAAGAATCATCCAGATGAGTTCTGTGAGTTTGTGAAAAGCAACACTGAGCAAATGCGGGAAGCATTTGCTACTGCTTTCTCTAAGTTAAAACCTGAATCATCCCAACAAGTTGTTCAGGAGTCATTAATAATAAAAAATCCTCATAATTTTGATGGAAAGAAGCAAATTGAAGTGTCATCTGCAGTAGTAAACCTGATTTGTGAAGGCATGTTTCCAGCTTCCATTTTGGACGAGCCTACTTTTAAATCCCTACTAAAAACTCTGGATCCAAGGTTTGAGATACCTAGCAGAAAATATATCTGCAGCAGGGTATTGCCTGAAAAATATCACACAGTTAAAGATGTTATATTGAAAGAAATGGTTGACATTTTGTGGTGCGGTATATCTACTGATATGTGGAGAAATGAATACCAGGATAGGTTATATGTGACCCTTTTCATTCACTTCCTGACTCCTGATCCTTCTAGTTGTTTGTCCCTGAGCTCCCGTTGCTTGAAGACATTTGAGGTACCTGAGGAAAACAAAGCAGAAGCAATCACACGAGTTTTGTATGAAACCTTTATTGAATGGGGAATAAGTAATAAAGTTTTTGGTGCTACCACAGACTATAGAAAAGACATAATTAAAGCATGCTCTCTCCTAGATATACCTATAGAAATGCCTTGCTTAGGCCAAACATTTAACATAGGAATACAGCAAGCTTTCCAACTCCCAAAACTAGCAGGACTTCTTTCAAGGTGTAGGAAGCTGGTGGAATATTTTCAGCAGTCTTCTGTTGCACGTTACATGCTTTGTGAGAAACAAAAACAGCAAAACATGCTTACCTGCATGCTTATAAGTGATAAAGTTTCATGGTGTGGTAGCACACTTGCAATGCTGCAGTGCCTTAAGGAACAGCAGTTCATGATAGCTGGAGTTTTAGTGGAGGACAGTAATAATCATCACCTCATGCTTGAAGCAAGTGATTGGAATAGCATTGAAAGTCTGGTGGATTTGCTGCAGCCATTTAAACAAGTTACGGAAATGCTTTCTATGTCAAAATATCCCACTATAAGTATGGTTAAGCCTCTTTTACATATGCTCCTTAACACATCATTAAACATCAAAGAGACTGACCTAAAAGAAATAAGCATGGCCAAGGAAGTCATTGCTAAAGCGTTATCAGCTACTTACCAACAGACACCTGAAATAGATATGTTTTTAAATGTTGCAACTTTTCTGGATCCCAGGTACAAAAGGCTTCCGTTCCTCTCTGCATTCGAACGTTCCCAAGTTGAAAATCGTGTTATCGAAGAAGCAAAAAGTTTGCTGGATAGAAATAAAGAACACTTAAGAACTGAGGAAAAGGTGTATACCATTCCAGAAGAACCACCAGCAAAAAAAAAGTTGATGTCCCCTACCACTCTTCCAGCCAGTAATATCAACAACATGCTGGCTCAGATCTTCTGCCAGTCTGGAGCTTCTGAAGACCAGGAGGAGTGTCATGCTCAAGTTGTTGAGGAACTGAGCAATTTTAAATCCCAAAAGGTTCTTGGATTGAATGAAGATCCACTGAAATGGTGGTCTGATCGTTTGCAGTTATTTCCTCTGTTACCAAAGGTTCTCCAAAAATATTGGTGTATTGCTGCCACCAGAGTCTTCCCTGGGCGTCTCTTTAGTTCCTCATCAAATGTGGTCAACGCTAAAAGAAACAGATTAGCTCCTGCTCACGTGGATGAACAGGTGTTTTTGTATGAGAACACAAGAAATTCCTCAGAAGCGGAGCCTGAAGATGACTATGAAGGGCATTGGGGATTCCAACAAGAACATTTTTTTAATTTGAATGAATCGGTTGGTGTAGGCAGTAGTATCTTTTCAGTTAGGGACAGTGGGTTTCTTTAAATACAACCTGCAATTATATGCACAGTGTGTTTACTTAATTTGCCTTACAACTCTTACCATCTATCAGAACATGAGGGTTTATCAATATGTAAAAATCTATGAAGTCTTATATGCATCACCTGCTGATCAGTCCATTTCAAATGTGTATTGTTTAGAAGCTGGAGCCATAACTTCGTTTTAATGTAATATTTAATATTTATGCTGTGCAGACTATATTTAAAGTAATAGATTTAGAATAATTTATTAGAGTAGATGTAAACTGTTCAATAGATGTCTTTACCTAGTGCAGCAAAACAAATTACATTGTGTGTTGTATTTTTAGATGCCTTGAAAATTATTTTCAAGCTTGAAGTTTTTCTTTTAGCAAATTAGGCCTTTTATATTAAAGTGTTGAATGGAAAAGTTGTGCTGTAGCATCCATCATTTTTTAATACTTTAAGGAAATAATTTGATTGGTTGCTGTGGGTCAACAGCATAATCATGTATCCTTCACACACTTTGAGAAATCATGCCTTTGGAATATAAGGGTATATGTTCTACTAAGAAAACTACATCTGATCAATTACATGATGCAAATAAAATAGGTGCAGATTATATAATTTACAATAACCATGACCCTTGTGATATAATTTAACAAATCAAGAAAACTGAATTAACTCTTGAGTCTACCAATCAATAGGAGTATGTAATGAGGGAATTAAATATTGATTCAAATATGTATTCATTTGTTTATGACAGTGTATGTTGTTAGTAATGATCGGTCCACCTATCCTTGCTATTAAAAAAAAAATCAGTAGTCCTTCATAACTATGGTATGTTGAAAATTATTTCCAAAAATACATCTTCATAATCATATGTCACAGGACACAGGATGTAGTATTCTGGAACCAAGGGTTATGCAGCTGCCTTCTCTCAGCATGCCTGTTTTTTGGGGGGTTTTTGGCTAGTGTTTTAAGGCGAACAGATGTCTTCTCTCTGCCCCAAGTGTAGCAAAGCATTTTCTTTTTAGATTATTTTTCTTGTTTATTTGCAGTGTTCGGATCGGTGTCCATGGGAAGAAGATGCAGGGACAGCCATTAATGTTTCCCTCTGGAAACTGAACTCTTCATTAGGTACTCACCGAGGCATATAGTGTAATGCTTGGTGTAACCCTGTCCCTGAAGATATAAAATAAAATAGTCTGCGCTTCTGGAACTAACTAAAATAAAATAAATTAAATTAAAACCTAAAGCGGCTAAGAAAAAAGGAAGAAAACTCCTTAGATTAAACGAAAAAGATTAAATCAAAGCGCTAAAGGTGTAAACTATGAAGATAATAATATTGAATACAATCAAGTATTTAGGTGCAAAATCGAGTGAACCAGTGAAGATAGTAAGTGAACCAGGGGTGGGTATTTTAACCTCAGCCTAAACTAAGGCTAAATTGATTATAAGTATCAATAAATGTCTTAAATACAATTCTTAAATAAAATTATATCAAAGAAACGAAAAAAATAAATAAATTAGTGTCAAAAGAACTGTGGGAAACGAAAAAAACAGAACTAGTGACAGTAACAAATGTGAAACAAAAGTAATAATGAAGTGTTACATTAGGTCAACAGTCAGAAATATGTAACCAAGATCGTGGTAGCCTTTCAGAGTCAATCAGCTGATCTCCAAGTAGCACTCTTTCAATGAAGATGTCAGATCCGCGAAAAAACAATGTTCAGTGGATAATAATTTAAAAGCCGGGGGAGGCAAACACAAGGCAAATAATAGTTGATCTATTTCGGTTGCCGTCCGACAGCCCCCCTTATGGATGGGTACTCACCAGAATGTAGTGAGTAGACGGCTTTTTTTGGTGAGCGGCACTTTGGTGTGCAATCCTGCTCCAATTTAAACTCAATTGTTCCCGCTTGGAGACCCGGCAGGAGGAGAGTTTTTCTTCCTTGCAGCGCTGGAGGTGTTCCACAAACACAGTAAAACTGTTTACCATCTTCATAGCAAAAAGGGACAACCCTCCCATCCTGGGAAAAATCTCAACAGATTAAATTTCATATGACGTCCACCAGACAGTCATTGCTTCTATTCACGTGGGAGAGTTTCTGACTTGTGTGGATATCAAGGATGCTTACTTGCATACTCCAGTGTTTCCTGCACATAAATGCTACGTGTTTTACTGTGGGCACACAACAATACCAAATTATTATATGATAATGTGCACTGCGTTTACAACATCAATTCCAAAAAGGTTTGGACGCTTTGTAAAATCTACATGAAAACAGAATGCAAAGATTTGCTAATCTCATAAACCCATATTTCATTCACAATAGGAAACATATCAAATGTTTAAACTGAGAAAATACCAGTTTTAAGAAAAAAAATTAAGGTAATTTTGAAATTGCTGACAGCAGCACATCTAAAAAAGTTGGGACAGGACCATGTTTACCACAGTGCACCTTCCCTTCTTTTAACAACACTCTGTAAACATCTGGGAACTGAGGAGACCAGTTGCTGGAGTTTTAGGAGAGGAATGTTGTCCCATTCTTGCCTGATATAGGATTCTAACTGTTCAACATATTTTACGTTTTAAGATGTGCCAAATATTTTCAATTGGTGAAAGGTCTGGACTGCAGGCAGGCTAGTTAAGTACCCAGACTGTTCTACTTCGAAGCTATACTGTTGTCATAGATGCAGTATGATGTTTAGCATTGTCCTGTTGAAATATGCAAGGCCTTCCCTGAAAAAGATGTCACCTGGATGGGTGGGCGGCGAGTCATTACACGCTGCCCGGCTTCCTTAATGGTTGTTCCGGATAGATGAATGATGCTAGAACCACAAAGCAGTAGCATATGGTTGATCAATCCTGGTAGGTTTACACTAAGCAGGTAGCTCATATACATATAAAGGTCCTAAAGGAGCTTCAGATTTAAATCAGGAAAACAATGCATAGACTCAAACATAATATTCTATAAGTATTTTTAGTAAAATAGTCCAATAAAAAGTCCACAAAGGTAACCAATTGTTTCAGGGGGAGAGAAGTGCCTCCTTGATCAGGTTTTGAAGTGCTAGATATTGTGAATGTTACAGATGATGTACTTTGTGATAAAAAGAATGAAGAAAAGACTTCTATATGGCATTCTACTTAGAAGCTAATTATGTCACCTTTTTGTGTTTTGTGAAGCTGTAAGTTCACTTCTAGCCCCCCTGAAATGCACTGGCTACATTTGTGGACTTTTAGTGGACTATTTCACTGAAAGGTGTGGTGCTTTGCATTGTACTTCTGTAACGATCAGCCCAGGTGGATTGGTAGGATCGCAGCTGCGGTTTTAGCCTCACACCTGGTGTTAGATTGGCTCAGGTCAAGGGTTCACTTTACCACTCTGTATGGGTAGGAGTGATGGTGGAACCCTCTATCACATCATATGCCAAACACAGGAGATGAGAGTGGTGCCAATGTATACTTCGTGCAGGTATAGCTAGGTCACACAGATCTGGTAATCACCACTAGGTATTTATGCGAAGCCCTCTTATGCCAAGCAGTCTGCACTCAATGGGGTGCAGCGACACTATGTGGTTAATATACACGCGATATGTCTCTATGCATGCAGTACAATCTAGAACAGGTAAGTCAATATGAGTTAGGAACAGAATGCAGGAAGCAATGTATGATAACCCCTCTGCTGACACTTGTTTAGTATCACCTCCACTGAGGCAGGTTACTTGCGGTTTGGTGAAGGGTTAACTTCCACTGGAGGGTAACAGCTGAACTGCAGGGGAGACTCCACGAGATCTGCGGCTTCCAGGGAGATCAGAGAGGCAATGCAGGGTTTGCAGAGAAGGATTCCTGTGTAATCCCGATCGGTAGCAGAGGCTGTGAAGAGCTGTAACTCGGGGGGTATTGATCTCAGAGTAGAAGGTTCAGGTGAGTCCTGTCGTAGGCGAGTTGCACTGGCTCGACGTTCACAACAATAGAACCGAGCTACTGCAAGTCTCGTCATTTTAAGGAGAAGATCCTGTTGGGGGAGGAGCCGAGAGCGCCGGCCGACGTCTCGGTCTCCTAGTGACGTCACGCCGCTGTGTGGGGAAGCCGGCCCGCAGCCCAAAACGACGGCAACGGGAGAATCTCTCACAACTTCTGACAGGGAAATTATGGCAGCTTCTCTCTACTGAGGATTCAGAGACCTTCAAGGACCTGCCATGGGATTTTGCTTTGCACAACTCTACCTAAGACAATAACTGAATAAGAATAAGAGTGTAGCTCTCCTTTAATTTACATGTTTACCAATCTTTTTATAAACATATAGAACTTAATTTTTACCAAAGTTAGCTAAGTTAACTGCCACGTACCTGGTTGGAGACTGAATGTGTGAGGAGGCCTCCCTTGCACCTCGTGTCCCTAGGACTCTAAGGATGGGGACAGAGTCCAAGTAGACAGCGAGTGGTACAGGTGCCAGTGGTGATAACACCGTGCAAGCTGAATTCCAGGGGCTTGATTTTCCAAGGCACAATCCAATATCCAAGTCAACGAGCCAAGGTAAAAACCAATCAAGCTGGAACGGTACACAGGGGTGAGGCAGAGGCAAAGTCCAGTAAACAAATACGAGGTCGGTGGCAGGCAGCAGGCAAGAAAGGTCAAGGCAAACCCGGGTCACAGCAAATCTGGAAGGAATTCACAGGAATACAGGATAGCTGAAGATAATCCAGCAATATGGTGGTGCTCAGGTTTGGTTTATATAGAGGTAGTGATTAGGGTGATGTGTCACTTCCTGTGCGCCGTTTGGCACACTTTTGCGCGGCTGGTCCAAGGCGCCCACGCATGCGCGGAAGAGCATGATTCTTAATGGAACGGGAAAGCGCGATTGGCCCATGCGCAGTAACGGGGTCTCTTACATTAACAAAGTGTGGAAAATGATTCTAATGTGTGAACATTGAATCCATTGTCATTGTTCTATTTTTGCATAGAAGTTGAACATAATGTAAAGGCAGATACCCATTTAGTATTAGTAAGAAAGAAAATGTTTTTGCGTGCC